TGTTTTGAACTTTTAAAATATTGCATGGTAAAAATAGAAGCTGCTCTTCATATTAGTGAAAAACTTTGGTGTTTTTTGATGGGTTACTTTCATTTTTGCCTTCTACTTTTTATTTAAAATTATGGAGCCCGCCAGGAGTCAGTGGTAGAAAAAAAAACAGCCGCTGGTTCTTCTTCTACATATCAAAAAAGTTGTTAAACAACTAAGTGGTGCAGTACCGCTACTAGTGGTGACAAAGTGTATTGCACCTCATTCAAAATCAATGCGCTCCCGTGGCCCTCTGCGGCCCAAAGTTAAAAACTGTTGTTCTTTTGAGGCCCTCAAGGTGGCGCTCGGGCCGCGGCCCATGGGTTAAAAATCTCTGCCCTAACAGACATGTTCTATATATTAAAATGTACATTACGTTTGTCTCTAAGAATGTGTTTACACAGACAAATTCCTCAAACTGGCTCCATATTATATGATTTAACTCTGATTTTTAAAGTATCAATTCAACACACACCAAATCTGAAGATAATGCCAAAGAAATGCATTTCTCTGCATGTCCCCTCAGCTTCTGTAGAATTTAAATTTCAGAGTGAAGAGAATCTTTTCAAAGTATTTTATTCTGATTAATCCCCGTTACATTTGCAATATGAACTCAAGTGGTTTCCTGTCGTCGTTTTTCAGGGTGATGGAGCCACAGTCAATTCTCAGACACTTGAGAAGCTGTACCTGGAAAACAGCGACTCTAAGACTTCTTTCCAAGCTGGCAAACATCAGTACCATCTCTACTTTAAAGGTGCAGCGGGAAGYCAGCAGATGTTTCAGGAGAATATTCAGTACAAAACCAAGAGAGAGGTCAGGCGGAGGCCTCGCTTTGTGTCTGCCGATGATGTGAACAAGCTCAAATGGTATCTTTCATTTAGTTACACAAGTTTGTATTTCTGAGGTTTTCAATCTGAATATACAGTCACSAAGTCTGTTCCTACTAAACCTATCTTCTCTTTAGTGCACCATCACAGAGCTCCAGCAGCTCTTCCACAGCTGAAAGCATCCCATCACACTGGGATAAGACAAATCTGCCTGATTTGGGATACAAGGTACCTGAATATTGAACAAATTTTATGCTGCTTTAAGTCTCATAATAAACTATAAACAAGCAACTATACTTTAGAACAATAACCTATCTGCACTTTGATCAAATCTTTCAGCTTGTGCCTCTTTCCAATTCTCCTAAAGAGCTCAATATGATTGAGATGCTGTTCAAACGCACCCTGCCGCTCAGTAAAATTACCAGCATTCAAAGGATTCAGAACCCATCTTTGTGGAAAATCTTTTATTGGTAAAACACTACCAGAGATGTTTGATTTTTKAATTAAAACCATTCTTTTCTGTTATAAAACTAGTTGGACTCTAGATTAGCAATGGTCTTTAAATTCATGTCTTTATTGGTCATGCTGTGTGTTTATATTTCATGCTGTGTGTTTCAGGCAGAAGGAGCAGATGCAGAAGAGGAATGGAGGGAAACCTGTGGATGAAAGATACTTGTTCCATGGAACAGATGAGACCCTGGTTGATGCCATTTGTGATCAGAATTTTGATTGGAGAATGTGTGGGGTCCATGGAACAGCCTACGGCAAAGGTAAACARCTAAAGTATCCTTTAATCATCATGTTTATTTTGTTTTTAATGGTGGGCCCTTCAGAGCTAAAGAATAACAATAAAAATCTGAAGCTCCTATGTTGGATAGTTTTTGAGTTCTAAGCATTTTTGTATGTCCAGACACCCCCTTTTCAGATGGAGCCCCCTCCTCAAATATGGGGTCTATCTTAAAACTGTTGACTGGTACAGTGTAGGTCGGACTCATCTACAAATTTCACGTTGATTGGCGCAGCTGTTTCTGTGCTACATTTGACCAAAAATCTTGAAAAATAATTTAAAAATAAAAACGCGGGGTCATAATAGTCTCTGCCAATCGCGGTTAGGACAAGCTCCGCCCACACACCAAGAAACTCCCCCTCTGTACTGCGGGGATGCATACTCGCAAAACGGCAATTTTTAAATTTCAATATAAATTCTTTTTCAGGGAGCTACTTTGCCAGAGATGCGTCCTACTCAGACAGATACTCCAGAGCGAAAGGGAGTCTGAACAAGATCATGTTTGTGGCTCTGGTCCTGGTKGGGGAATACACGCTTGGAAAGACGAGCTACGTGCGACCACCTCTGAAGGAAGGCAGCAGCACTTTCTACGACAGCTGCGTTAACTCCATGAGTGACCCTGGCATATTTGTTCTCTTTGAAAAACAGCAGATTTATCCAGAATATATTATTAAGTATGTGTAAATAGTTTTGTAAGGAAAACTTCAGTGTTTTCCTTTGAGAGGGAAAAAAAAAACCCTCCAGCCAGGGATCTCTCGTAGATTTTCTGGTAACAGTGAAAGGTTTGAAGTTCATAAAAGTCTTATCTTTAATCGCTGAGGCTGCCTATTGTGTAAAGACCCATCACTACATTTATATTCTCTCTTTACACCTAACTTAAATCTCTGTATTTAGTTTTCCTTGCTTGTGAGCTTAGGTTTTCTCTGAGCAAATACACATTTCTTATAGTGAAAAAGACTTCCAACAGGCACACTGATAAAATCTTCTCTACGAGTTCTTTTTTCTTTTTTTTTTTGTAAAACATAAAGAGCTGATGTAGTTCTCCTGTTGACTGGGTCGTAGTATTTTATTCAGACCAGTGCTAGGTGAGGTTGAGGTCCTAATTTGTTTGCCTACTTACCAGTTCTCCAAGCATTTGCAGATATATGACATGTCTGGACCCTTTTTAATATATATATATAAAACTGCTTTTAACACAAATATGATCATTTGATCAAAAGGTTGCCTATAATAAAATGGAGTAGACTTTAGGAGTACAGTTACCTCCACAGGCACCAGTAAACCTCTAGATACTGTGATTTTATGAGCTGTTTGAAGGTTTGGATTCACTTTCTGCTGTGTCACTGTGAAGTGATTCTTTCAGCAGCACAAATTTAAGAAAACATTTGGGGTAAAAAAAAAGTAAAAATGCTTAATTTTTTTTGCTTAAAACCAATTTAAGTACTAGCTAGTGCTCTTGTTCAATAAAAATTGTGCTAATCACTTATTATGGCTTGATGGAAGCTAAAGTTTCATGTTCTATAACTTAAATATTGTTCTAATTTTTTTTTAGATCAAAGGAGCAAAAAAAAAAAGGTTAGACTCAGTTTTGTTGTTTAGGCCCGGTTGTGGTGGTTCTTTTTTTTTCTTTCGGAGAATGTTTGGGAAAAAACGAGTGTTTAAGAGGGAACTAGCATTATATGTAAAGGACTCCWGATTGTTACTAAATAAAGTCATAAATGACCAAAATTACTGCATTTATGTTTTTTTTTCTTTTACAAGGAAATTAAATTTAAATGTTCAACAGTTGAAACAACTAATCTAATAAT